ACACTTTTAGTTGGGTGTGGTCGTTTGTAATCCTAGTACCTGTCAGGTGAAGGCAGGAGGATCAGGAGTTCAAGGTCATCCCAAGCTACATAGCAAGTTAGAGGTCAGCCTGGGCTACATTAGACCCTGTCTCAAGAAAGAAAGAAGGGAAAGGAGAAATGGAGGGAGGGAGGAAAGCTAAGAAAGAATATCAGAGCTATATTGCATAACCCGTATGCTATTTTCTGTGTGCTTGTTTTTGCTATTTTAATTTAAATAGCCAGATTGTAAAAAAAAATATTGGACAATCAATTGAAAACACTTCAATGGAAAGAAAGTGTTTGGCTGTTTCTATGGCAACTTAATGTTGAAAACAGAACTAAAAACTTGTGGTTTCTTACTTTTTGCTTTATTTTTTTTATGTGTATGATTTTTGCCTGCATGTGTATGTGTACCTGTGTTGTACAATGCCCACAAAGACCAAAAGAGGGCGTTGGATCCCCTAGAGCTGGAGTTATAGATAATTGTTGAGCTACCATATGGATTCTGGGAACTGAACCCAGGTCCTTTGCAAAAACAGCCAGTGCTCTTAACCACTGAGCCATCTTTTCAGCCCCTTGTTTTGTGTTTTTGAGACAGGAATGCTTTATGTAGCTTAAGCTAGGCAAATACTGAAAAGGATAAGCCAAGCAAGTCATGAGTTCAAGGCCAGCCCGGGCTATACTTTTAATTGGGTGTGGTAGCTTGTAATCCTAGCACCTGTCAAGTGAAGGCAGGAAGATCAGAAGTTCAAGGTCATACCAAGCTACATAGCAAGTTAGCTAGTATTAGCCTAGGAGCAATCCTCCTGCCGCAGTCTCCTAGAGTGCTGTGATTACAAGCATTACTCACCATACCCTGCTATAGCTCAAAACTGTTGAGACTTATTTCAATTTCTTTTAAAAAGATTTATTTTTAATGATGTATGTGTGTGTGTCTATATGTGGGTATATATATATATATGGGTATATATGTGGATATATATGTGGAGATATATGTATATATATATATATATATATATATATATATATATATATATATATATATATATATATATATATATATATATATATATATATATATATATATATATGAGTGCAGGTGCTTGTGGAGGCCAGAGGTGTCAGATCCCTCTGGATTGGGAGTTATAGCTGGTTGTAAGTCACCTAATACGGGTGCTGGGAACAACTCAAGGTCCTCTGCAAGAGCAGTATGGGCTCTAAACTGTTGAGCCAACTCTAGCCCTATTTTCAACTTTTTAAAAGGCTGGGCAAAATTGTAGAAGTTGATGACACCGTTTTCAACTTTTTTTGCTTTTTTATATTTTTTCATTCATCATGTAACAACTGAGTGTCCACCATGAGGCCAGCCCTGTGCTAGACATTGGGGAACAAGATGTAGACAAGACAGGAGGTCAGTGAGATGGCTCAGTGGGGCAAGCATGATGTCCTGTGTTGAGGATTCCCTGCACCCATGTAAAAATCCCGGTGCAGTGGCATGCACCTATAATCCCCAGTGCTGTGGAGAGACAAGCAGATCCTGGGGGCTCATTGATGAGACTAGCAAAAAAGAGGAGCTCAGTGAGAGGCTGTCTCCCCAAAAATATAGTGGCAAGACAGATATGGTGCTGGCCTGAGGTCTGATAGTCAAAGAAATGCTACAGCTGTCCCTGAGACTTCATCAGTGACATCAGAACATGACTTTGTTAGGGTGGAAGTAGGAAGTATATTTTGGAGGAAGCCAAGTATGACCATCAAGGGTATATTATCCAGGGAAGAGTCTGAGGCCTCTCTCTAGATTTCTTGAATGTGGAGGTTAATATTGGTGGTCAGCTTGACAGGATCCAGAATCATCTAGGAAACACACTCCTGGGAATGTCCGTGAGGGTGTTTCTAGGTTAATTGATGAAGGAAGACCCACCCTGAATGTGGGTGGCTCCATACCATGGGGTCCTGGACTGAATAAAAAGGAGAAAGTGAGGTGAGCAGCAGCATCCATCTCTCTGCTTCCTGACTGTGGATGCCATGTGACCAGCTGCCTCATGCTCATGCTGCCATGCCTTCCCACCATGATGGACTGCATCCTTAAACTGTGAGCCAAAATGAACACTTGCTTTTTTTTTTAAATTTACTTGTTTTTATCTTATGTGTATGAGTGTTATGCCTGCATGTATGTAAGTGCACTTGTGTTCTGCAGTGCCCGAGGAGGACAGAAGAGGGTATCAGATTCTCTGGAACTGGAATTACAGACAGTTCTTAGCTGCCATGTGGGTGCTGAGATTTGAACCCCAGTCTTCTGTAAGAGCAGACAGTACTCTTAACTGCTGAGCTATCTTTGCAACCCTGAACCCTTCATTCTTTAAGTTGATTTTTGTCAGGCATTTTGTCATAGCAACTGGAAAAACAACTAACACACTGAATTATCCTTTTCTAAGTCACTGGATATTTCTGATTGCAGCATGGGATCTAGTCTGGAGAACATTTTATTTATTCTTTGACAATTTCATACATACAGGTATATGATATATTTTGATAATATTCACTTCTATCTTTTGCCATTGTTTTTTAAATTTTTATTTATTTTTTGTTTTATGTGTATGCATGTATTGCCTGCATGTAGGTAAGTGCATCCGTGTTGTGCAATGCCCATGGAGGTCAGAAGAGGCTGTCGGATCCCCTGGGACTGGAGTTAAGGACAGTTCGTAGCCACCATGTGGGTGCTGGGATTTGAACCCAGGTCTTCTGCAAGAACAACCAGTGTTCTTAACCACTGAACTATTTCTCCAGCCCCCTCCTGCCATTTTTTTTATTGCTCTCCAACTCCATCTGTTCTTCTTCCCAACAAGTCTCCTTTCTCCTTTCATGTCTTATTTTTAATGACCCACTGAGTTTAATGATGAACAGAGGTGAGGAGCTATTTACATTAACAGCCATTAACACTCACTAGCTCCTCAGGAAGGGGTGGGGACTAAAGAGTCTCTCCTCCAGAACTTAAAAATAATTACATGTATGAGTGTTTTGTCTGCATGTCTGTTAGTGCACCACTTGCATGCAGTGCCCACAAGAGCAAGAAGAGGGCATCTGATCCCTCAGAACTAGAGTTATAAAAGGCTATGAGCTGCCATGTGGATGCTGGGAACCAAACTCAGGTCCTCTGCAAGAGCAGCAAGTGCTCTTAACCACTGAGCCATGAGCTATCACTCCAGTCCTAGAACTTTTTTTTTTAATCTCTTGAGGTCTCATATGGTGGTACACATGTAATCCTAGTACTCAGGAGGCTAAGGCAGGAAGATCTTGAGTTTGAGGTTTGAGCTATATAGCAAGACCTGGTCTCAGAAAAACATAAAGACAAACAAATTTGAATCTAGCTTTTAGAAAAGAAGAAAATTTTAGCCGGGCGTGGTGGCGCATGCCTTTAATCCTAGCACTTGGGAGGCAGAGGCAGGCAGATCTTTGTGAGTTTGAGGCCAGCCTGGTCTACATAGTGAGTTCCAGGACAGCTGGAGCTATAGGGAGACCCTGTCTCAAAAAGAAAAAAAAAAAGGAAATTTTGATGGGGCTAGACAAAGCCTTGAGTGCCTATTTGTGGGTACCGACTTAGAGTCTGTCAACCCTAGATTGAGGTCAGACTCACACATACACCCACAGTTCCATATGCTAAAAGCTAAAAACAACCTGCTCAAACAGCAGCTACAAACATCTGGGAACCCTCTTTAGTTACAGAGCACCCCATTACTATGTTTCATACACACACACACACCCTTCCTTGCCAGGCCTCCCGTATCTTCCAACTTCACCAACCTGGGTCACTTGCAGAACTGAAACCTTAGTTAAGGTTTGTTGAGGATTTTTTTTTCTTTTTTTTTAAAAAAATTGGCTGTTCCTACCCATGTTTCTATATATAGAAAAAAAGACAGTGGTTTCATTAGCAAAGTAAGACATTTGAGCTATATTCACTTGATCCTTGAACATGAAATCTAAGAGGTTGTTAATGATCACGCTTTCAATCCTATATAAGGCAGGTTAGTAAGGTAGTCAAAGCCCATCTGGTTTTTTGTTTGTTGCTTCGACTCTTTGCCCTCCCCAACGTTTGATTCTAAATCTACAGTGGTGAGTAGCTGGTGGACCTACCAGACCCCAAGCTCCTTTTCCCTACATGCACAATATTAGATTTGTGCCTTATGTAGTGAGTCCTCTTTTCCTATAAACCTGACTGGCACTTGGATTTTCATCTCTACTCATTCATCTGATTCCCACAGACGGTCTTCAAGCAGCCCACACTGCACCTTTTCTCGTGTGCTATTTTCAATATTGCCATTCACTGGCTGATGAATGACAATGTTACTGGGTTTATAACATGGTCAATTTTTCAATAACTTGTAACTGCCTTGTAAGAGGTTGATTAAATGTAATATTTACAAGAGGACCGATATTTATTTGATTTTTTTCGTTTTATTTTGATTTTTGATATCCGGTTGGTCTCAAGTTTATTAGGTAGCCAAGGATGTCCTTGAACCCCTGATCTTCCTGCCTCCACCTCCCAAGCATTGGGATTAAAGGTGTGCATGATCATGCCTGGTGTGGTCTTTTGTTTGTTTTTTGAGACAGGGTCTCTCTGTAGCCCCAGCTGGCCTGGCATTCACAATGCAGACCTGGCTGGCCTCTGTCTCACAGAGATACACCTGCCTCTGCCTCCCAAGTACTGGGATTAAAGGCCTGTGCCACCATACCAGGCAGGTCTTTTTTAAAATCTCATTTTTGGAGTATATTCAGGAGAAGGTATTGAGACCAAAAGGGGGGTAGAATCTTTTTCGTGTCTGGTTTTTGCTTGGTATGCTGTCTCATCACCTAACGGGTGCTTATCATGTTTTGAAGTTCTAGAAATACACAGTGATGGTGAGCCAAGGAGGGTGTGTGCTCTTTGCAGATGTTCGTGTTTCTGGTTGCCATTGATCACATGTCGTTCTGTGTGACTAGGTGGACATGAGTATCACAGATGTGCTCAGTGCTGATGACATCGCAGCAGCTCTGCAGGAATGCCAAGGTAAAGGGGGACCCAAGGAGCCAGGCACGGTGGTGCATGCCTGTAATCCCAGCATAATCCCAGCACTGGGGGGTTCAGGGGAGGGCTGAGGTGGGAGGATTGTGAGTTTGAGGCCATCCTGGGCTACAGAGTAAGATCTCATCTCAAGATCAAAGGTTTAGAGCCACAGCTCAGTTGGCAGAGTGTTCTCCTGGCATGTACAAAGCCCCATGTCCCATCTCCAGCACTGCATGAACTGGGATGGTGGCACACACCTGTATTTCCAGCACTTAGAAAGTAGAAGCAGGAGAATTCCTGAATTCAAGGTCATCCTTGGCTACATGGTGAGTTTAAGGCCAGCCTAGGCTACATGAGACCTGGTCTCAAAAAACAAACAAAGCCTGGTATGGTGATATAAGCCTTTAATCCCAGCATTCGGGAGGCAGAGGTAGGTGGGTCTCTGTGAGTTCCAGCCTAACCTTGTCTACATGGTGAGATCCTGTCTCAAAAAATAAACAAATAAAAATAAAAGGAAGGAAGAAAGAAAAGAATGAAAGAAAGAAAAAGAGAGAGGGAGAGAACTTCAGCCATATATGTTAGCTCCTGTCTGTAATCCCAGCCCTTGGAGGAGGAGGCAGAAAGATTGTTGCAAGTCAGCCTTGGCTATATGGTGGGTTCCACGACACCCTGGGCAATGAGTAAAACCTGGTTTCAAACACAAGTTAATGTATTTATTCTATTAAATCTACTTGAATCCGATTTCTTCCACCAATTACACCTGTGACCCTGGGGTCTTGGTACAAAGCCTGTCAAAAGCAGAGGGGCCGGGGAGGCCAGGGGAAGGCACAGAGCAAGGAGACAGGAGAGATATGCAAAATCAAGTGGGGAGAGAAAGCTAGAGGGCATGACGTCACAAACCACCTACTCCTGGCATTCTCAGAGTCTTGAAGAGTCAAATATCCATATAACTCCAGGAATGATTGAAAAGTATTTTAATGCCCTGTGTTTTGGCACCTAGATGCATCAGGATAACCTGGTCTCTGTTCTTTAGACCCAGACACTTTTGAACCACAAAAGTTCTTCCAGACATCAGGCCTCTCCAAGATGTCAGCCAGTCAAGTGAAGGATGTTTTCCGGTTCATAGACAATGACCAGAGTGGATACTTGGATGAAGAAGAGCTTAAGTGAGCTTTGTTCTGAGGACCCCAACATTGCTGGGTGGGGTTGGGGCACAAGGCACCCATTTTGCTGGGTATTTCTGATGTTTCTTCCATGGCCAGCCTTGGTGTTGGATATGTGACTAAGTTTCATTAAAGAATGTAAATTGGGGACTGCAGTGGTTAAGAGTGTGCACAGCTCTTGCAGAAGACCAGAGTTCGGTCCTCAGCACTTACATCAGATGGCTGACAACTGTCTGCAACTCCAGTTCCAGGGGCTCTGATGCCCTCTGGCCCTCATAGGCACCTATATACATGTTGTGCACATAAACTCACATAGGCACACATATGTAGAAATAACTTTTAAAAATTATTAGAGGTTGGAGAGATGGCTCAACAGTTAAGAGCACTGGCTGCTCTTGCAGAGGACCCAGGTTCAATTCCCAGCACCCACATAGTAGCAAACAACTATTTGTAACTCCAGGTCCAGGGGATCCTACACCCTCTTCTGAGCTCCTCCAGCATTGCACGACAAGGGTGCACTTACACATATGCAGCCAATACACTCATGCACATAAAATAAAAAATAATTTAAAAAATTTTTTGGTCTTTTTTTTGAAGCAGGGTCTCCCTTGTAAGCCCCAGCTGTCCTGGAACTCACTATGTAGACCAGGCTGGCCTTGAACTCACAGAGATCCAACTGCCTCTGCCTCCCAAGTGCTGGGACTACAGGTGTGCGCCACCATGCCTGGCAAAAAAAAAATATTTTTAATTAATAGTTTTTAAAAAGAATGCAAATTGGCCACATCTCAATCCACACAGGGCTCTCTACACACAGCACTGAAGACTGTAGGTGCAGTTAGCCATTTGTTTAAGGGATTTCCTTTAGCAAATGAATTTGAAAAGCTCTTTTTAAAATTTTCTTTATTATTTGTATTTTATGTGTGTGTATTGCCTGCATGTATGTAAGTGTGCACCCGTGTCATGCAATGCCCTCAGAGGTCAGAAGAGGGAGTCAAATCCCCTGGAACTGCAGTTATGGACAGTTCTTAGCTGCTATGTGGGCGCTGGGATTCAAATCATGTCTTCTGCAAGAACAGCCAGTGTTCTTGCCCTCTGAACCATCTCTCCAGCCCCAAACTTGAAAAACTCTTAAAAATAGGTGTATCATTGGGTTTCCATAGCAAAGGAGACCTTTTCTTACTAAAGCCTTGACTGATGTTTGTGACTGCTGGATACAGATGGAGGGCTTAAGTGAAGGAGGGAGAAAGAAGGAAGGGAAAGGGGGAGAGAGGGAGGAAAGGAGGAGAGAAAGGAAGGGAAGAGAGAGGGAGGAAAGAAAGACAAGGCAGGAAAGGTCAAAGAGAAAGGGGGGAAGGATGGAAGAAGGAAGGGAGGGGAGGGAGGGACAGAAGGGAAGGAGAGAAAGAGGGAGGGGGTTGCAGGGAGAAAAGGAAGGGGGGACGGGCAGGAGGAGGAAGGAACACAGAGACAGGGAGTCTTTCAGGAAACTGCCATCCATCTCTTGTGCTGTAGGTTTTTCCTCCAGAAGTTTGAGAGCGGAGCTAGAGAGCTGACTGAGTCAGAAACCAAGTCCTTGATGGCTGCGGCAGACAATGATGGTGACGGGAAGATTGGGGCTGACGGTATGTCTGATCCTGTGCATAGTGTAAGATGCACAGAATCAGCACAGGGAGCATCCATGGGGACCTCTGGGTTTAAATCCCCCTTTCTTAACTTTGCTGAATCCAATCTTCTCATCTGTAAAATGGGATGAAGTGAGGTCACTAATTGCTGTGCATGGACATTTGACATCACCAGGGAGGTAGCTCAGTGGTCTAGCATGTGATTAGTATGTGTGAGGCTCTGGATTTGGTCCCCAGCATCACACACACACACACACACACACACACACACACACACACACACACACACACATACTCCTGGATAAAGATAGGTTTATTGGCTCACACCTATAATCCCAATACTTGAGGTAAAAGGATCACTGTGAATTTAAGGCCAGTCTGGCCTCAGAGTGAGACCTTGTCTCTAAACAAACACAAAGATATTCTGGGATATACAACAGAAGCAGGAACTTCCAGCCATTGTCTTTGAATATAAAGATTACTTCCCCTAATGAAGGGGCTGGCTGCCATCTGGCCTTACAAGCGTCTATGCAAGTTGCTCTGGTTTGGCTTGAAAATAATGCAAGAGATGTCTACCAGTGGATCTGAGCCCCACTGTGCAAGGGAAGGCTCATAAATTCCCAAGAGTTTCTTGTATCAAACAGAAAGTCCTCCATGCTGCCCAGGGTTTAAACAAAGACATCCTTCTGCCAATATTAAACAGAGAACAAAGGCTGGAGAGATGGCTCAGTCGGTAAAGTGCTTGCCAGCACCAATGTTAAAAGCTGGGTAGTATTCACCTGTAATCCCAGTACTGGGGAGAGGCAAGAGTATAGATGTAAGGAGGGTCACTGGGGCTCACTGTCCAGCCAGACTAGCTTTACTGGGGAGCTCTGGGTTCCTGTCAGAGACCCTGTCTCCAAAGGTAAGGTGAGAAGGAAGTGAAGAAGACACCAACATCACCCCCCACCCCCCCACACACACCAGGAGACACAACTAAACCAACCACCATTTATGATCCTCTGTGTGCAGAGTCCTAGATTCAAATGTCACAACTGTGCAGGCTGCAGGACTTTTTATACTTTATCTTGTCATGCTGCTTATGTTTTTTTTAAGGTGACAAACTCAGAGGAGAGTATGGGGGCCCTACTTGTGCCGTTAATCAGAGAAACTAAAAAATACTTAGATCTTTTTGTTTGTTTGTTTGAGAGAGAGAGTCTCATGTAGCTCTGACTGGGACCTTGAACTTGCTATGTAGTTGAGGCTCTTTCTTTCTTTCTTTCTTTCTTTCTTTCTTTCTTTCTTTCTTTCTTTCTTTCTTTCTTTCTTTCTTTCTTTCTCTTTTTTCTTCTTTCTTTCTTTTTCTTTCTTTCCTTCCTTCCTTCCTTCCTTCCTTCCTTCCTTCCTTCCTCCCTCCCTCTCTCTTTCTCTCTCTCTCTTTGGTCTTTTTGAGACAGGGTCTCTCTGTAGCCCCAGCTGGCCTTGAGCTCACTGTGTAGACCAGGCTGGCCTTGAACTGACAGAGATCCACCTTCCACTGCCTCCTGAGTGCTGGGATTAAAGGCAGGTGCCACCACGCCCAGTGAGGCTGGCTTTCTTGAATTCCTGATCCTCCTGCCTCACCATCACCATGCCCAAGTCTTGGATTCTTATTACTGTTAAAATATTTGAATTAATTTTTTATTTTATATTTCTGAGTGTTTTGCCTGCATGTATGTAAGTGTACCCATGCCATGCAAGGCTTGTGGAGGCCAGAAGAAGGGTGTTGAATATCCTAGAACTGGAGTTAGAAACAGTTGTTAGCCACCATGTGGGTAGAGGAACTGAACCCAGGTCCTCTACAACAGCAATGCTCTTAACTACTAAGTCATCTCTCCAGTCCTAATCTTTTGTTTTATTTTAAAATTATGTATATGTGTCCATGTGTGGGCATGTACATGTGAGTGCAAGTGCCCACAGAGGCCTGAAGAGACCATCAGATCTCCTGGAGCTGGAGTCAGGGGCAGTTGTGAGCTGCCTGATGTGGGTGCTAGGAATCAAACTCCAGTCCTGTGGAAGAACAGGATGTGAGCGCTCTTAACCACTGAGCCATTTCTCCAGCCCTAGAAATTTATTTATTTAGGCAGAGTCTCACTATGTTAGCCCTGGCTGGCCAAGAACTCAGAGATCCACCTGCCTCTGCCTCCTAAGTGCTGGGATGCAGGTATGTGCCACCACATCTGGCTCCTAGATCTTTAAGACCAATTTGAAAGCATACCATTATAGTGTGCGATATGAGTTACTGCAGCCCATAGAGATGCTCTCAAAAAGATAGCCCAGGCAAGGGAAGCTCAGTGTATTTAAGCATAACCATGAAGCTAGGCATGGTGGCACATGTTTGTAATCCCAACATTTAGGATGCTGAGATGTTTGAGGCCAACCTTGACTATAGAGTGAATTCCAGGCCAGCCTTGGCTCTAGAAGCAAGACCCTGTCTCAAATTTAAAATAATTAAAGATGCATAGCCTTGAAAGATGTCTAAACAGATAAAAGTTGCACCAGTTAATATCCATTGGGAAATCCATGAACCAGCAAATCTCCATTTTCCATTTCACTGTGTGCCAGCCAACCACAGCTTAAGATTGTTAACATAGAGACTGGAGAGATGATGGAGGGATAAGCTTGAGGACCTGAACTTAGATTCTAGCATCCATGTAAAGAAGCTAGATGTTGCTGGCCACAGTGGCACACACCTTTAATCCCAGTACTCAGGAGGTAGAGGCAGGTGGATCTCTGTGAGATCAAGGCCAGCTTGGTCTACATAGTGAATTCCAGGCCAGCTGGGGCTACAGGGAGACCCCCCCTTTTAAAAAAAGAGCTAGATGGGGGTATCTTCTCGTGTACTTGTAAGCCACAGCATTATGAGTAGTGATGACAGAATGGCTGGGCCTTGCTGGCTACCAGCCAACTTCAGTTTCAGTGAGAGACCCTGTCTCAAGGGAATAAGGTGGAGCGTGATGGAGTGGGACACCTGATGCCCTCTTCAGCCTCTTCAGGCATGTGCCTGCACACCAACCACACTCAAATACATAAAAAGTATCACTATCTTTTATTAATATTAACTTTGAGTAAAGACTAAGATTAGGAGTCAGTAGAGGAAAGTTTGTCCAAAGTTCCACCCTATTGAATACTTTTGAAAAATACACAGCTACAGAATACAGAAAGAAAACCATCTATTAAACCATTTGTTAAAGTAATCAGACAACATATTTACAATAGACAATTATTGAAATTTTCATTGTTAGAGGAACATGACTGGGCTGAGCTCTAATCCAGGAGGCTGTAGACACAAAGATTTTGTTAAATAAGATTATGCATGGGCTGGGGAGATGGTGCAGCAAAGTACTTGCCATGCAAGCCTGAGGACCAGAGTTCTGATTCTTAGACTCCATGGAAATGCCAGGAGGGTGTAGTGACCTGCCTGTAATCCTAGCCCTCACTTGGGAGAGGGGAGACCTGGGGCAAGCTGGTCAGCTAGACTAACCTAATCAGTGAGCTCTGGGTTCAAGTGAGAGATCCTGCCTCAATGTATAGGGATCAAGGAAGATATTCAAGTTAACCTCTGGCCCACATGCATACACACATGTGCTCACACAATGTAGCATGCACACACATGAGCATGCATAACATATGCAGGCAGACAAAGTGAGAGAGATCGGTTATGCAAAGAAAGCAAGTCATGGTTCTGTGCACACCTGCAATCCCATCCTGGGAGGCAGAGGCAGATGCCAATGGATCAGGAGTCCAGAGTTCAAGATCATCCTTGGCTACATGGCAAATTCAAGACTAGCCTGGGCTATGAAAGACCCTGTCTTTAAAATTATATATTAAAAAAGATTATACACAGAAAACTGGGGATGGTGGTGAAAGCCTGCAATACTAGCATTCCAGAGGATGAGGCAGGAGAATCATTTGTATGAGGCCAGCCTGGGCTATCTAGGGAGATCTTGTCTCAAAAAAAATGCAGAGGTGGAACTGGAGATATGGGTCAGTGGTTAAAAGTGTATACTTGCAGAAGGCCTGAGTTTGATTCCCAGCACCCACGTGGAGCAGCTCACAACCACCTGTCACTCCAGCTCCACCCTCTTCTGGCCTCCAAGGGCACACACACATAATTAAAAATAAATCTTTTTGAAAAACAAATGCAGAGAACTGGACAGGATGCTGTAGACTCCTTATCCTGTGGTTATTGATGCTCAGTGTCTTCCGTGAATTCCTCATAGGGAACTCTCACAGGGATGGCATATCTGTAAACTTCTGAACCGCCTCCACTAAGCCTGCTCTCATCTCTTCCATTTTAGAATTTCAGGAAATGGTGCATTCTTAAATCCCAAGTCTATGGAGGAAAGAGAGGAAGGGACACTCTGCTGGAAGGTCCCCAAAGCCCTGGGAATGGGAAGTTCTCCAACCTATCCCCAACTAATGTCATCAACTCCCCTTGAAGTGTTTCTGCAATGTACTTGTGGTTTGAGTGAGGAATAAGATGGCCTGTGGCATTCATTTTTTGGTGGTGGTGGGTATGCCCCATGACTTCTGTAAGGCCCCCAGGCAGACAATGCCTTTAAACATCACCCAATAAAGATAATTTCTCATCACTGATGTGTGTGTGTGCGCGCATGTGTGTGCACGTACGTGCATTAGTTACTTGTCTCGTTGCTATGACAAAGTACCCAATGAAAACAGCTTAAGGCAGGAAAGGTTTATTTCAGTTCACTGTTCAAGGGTGCAGTCCATCATGGTGGGAAGGCATGGTGGGGGCAGCAGCAACACTCAAGAGGCAGCTGGTCACACTGTATCCACAGTCAGGAAGTAGAGAGAAATGCTGATGCTCAGCTCACTTTCTCCTATTTTGGGGGTGGTTTCTAAGATAGGGTCTCCCTTGTAGCCTAGATGCCCTGAAATCACTATGTAGACCAGGCTGGCCTTGATCTCATAGAGATCCATCCACCTGCCTCTCAAGTGCTGGGATTAAGGGTGTACGCCACCATATGTGGCTGCTTTCTCCTTTTTATTCAGTCCAGGACCCCAGCCCAGGGAATGGTGTCACCCACATTTAGGGTGGGTTTTCCCACCTCAATTAACCCAGTCTAGAAACTCCCTCACAGATCTGTCCAGAGGTTTGTTTCCATGGTGATTCTAAATCCTGTTATGTTGACAATCATCACAGTAACTGATTTTGCTTTTCTTTTTGCTCAGCAAGGTAGTGAGACCAAAGCAAGAAGGGGTCAAGGGTCTTTCCAAAGATCTCAGGTCTCCTCAAACAATGAGCAGACATACTGGCACCCTGCATGAGGAAACAGGGGGATAGGGCTCAAAAAATATACATAAATGTTCCAAATCAATCCCATTGCCAGTCAGGCTGGGGTTTTTACCCACAGAAATTCATTGATTTTGAAATTAATATGAGATTTTAGTCAGCATAAAAATAACTCTTACATAAGTCAACCATTGTGGTGCACACCTGTAATCCCAACAGTCAGGAGGTGGAGGCATCAGGATGCAAAATTCAGCTACATAGTGAGTTTGAGGCTACATGAGACCCTGTCTCAAAATAAACCAAAACAGGTCACCAAGCCTGAGGATCTGAGTTCAATCCCTGGGGCCCAACTTGAGGAAGAGAACCAACTCCTTCAAATTGTCCTTTGACCTCCATAGGCCATAGCACATGCACTTGCGCGCGCGCACACACACACACACACACACACACACACACACACACACACACACACGAAAAAATATATATATAAAAAAACAATCACTTATATATATTTGTCTCTGATGCCGAGTATTGTGTGATATGAGCACTAACTGAGGAGTTCAATCCCTGGGGCCCAACTTGAGGAAGAGAACCAACTCCCACAAATTGTCCTTTGACCTCCATAGGCCATAGCACATGCACTTGCGCGCGCGCACACACACACACACACACACACACACACACACACACACGAGTAAATAAATAAATGTAACAAAAATCACTTTTACATATTTGTTTCTGATGCCGAGTATTGGCTGCTATAAGAGCAATCTAAGTGAAAGAAATGAATGTGAGATGTGACAGGAAGCAGAACTGGGTTATAAATCTTGGAGAACTTGCTGCTCTAGCTCAGCACAGACTCATTTTGAAGTTCTTATGTGTGTGTTTTTTCCCCTTAGCAAAACAAGCCTAACCTTTCTGTCCCTTCCCCTGCTTCTCGGCCACCATTTTCCTGGCTCTTGGTGACCACACGTGAGCCTATCACACCTATATCTGCGGTTCAGGGCTCACCTCAAGGGTCCTGTTAGAGGGTTGGGGAGTCTCAAGTCAGGAAATTCTCATTATGGCACTCTTCCAAGTGGCACCTGAAGCTTTCTTGGGGCTAACTTCAGAGTTGAGGGCACCAGAGTGTCCTGGGAGGATTTTCCTGGAAACTCATTTTAAGAGTTTGCACTGTGTAGCCAGGTACGGTGGCACACACCTTTAATCCCAGGACTTGGAAACTCAGGAGGTAGAGGTAGGTGGATCCCTGTGACAGTGAGGCCAGCCAGGTCTACATAGTGAGGTCCAGGCCTGCTGGGACTACAGGAAGACTCTGCCTCAAAAAAACTAGAAAAGAAGAAGAAGAAAAAAAAGAGTACGTGTGTGTGCACGTGTATGATGTGTATGTTTTGTATGTATGCATGTCTGTATACATGTCTGTATACATGCACATGTGAGAGTATGAAGGCCAGGGATTAAATCAGGTGTCTTCCTCAATCACTCTCCACCTTATTTTTAATATTTCTAGTACAATTTAAATGTATTTATTGTGTGTTTGTGTGCACGTGTGTGCCATGGTGCATGAGTGGAGGTCAGAGGACAACTTGACAGTTTTCTCCTTCCAACAAGTGGGTCCCTGGGATTGAATTTAGGTTGTCAGGCTTGGTAGCAGGTGCCTTTACCTGCTGAGCTATCTTGTGGGCACTCCATTTTCTTTTTTTGAGACAAGGTCTTTCACTGGGATCTGGGGCTCTCCAATTAGGCTAGGCTGGATGGTCCACAAGCCCCAGAGATGTCCTGTGTTTGCCTTTCAAATGTTTTCAAGTGCTGGGATCACATGCACACACTGCTTTACCCAACTTTTTACCTGGGTGCTGAAGATTTGAACTCGGGTCCTCAGGCTTGTGCAGCAAGCACTTTACCTATTATCTTTCCAGGCCCAGGAGCTTACACTTTTAACCTAATGTCCACACTCACCATGTTCTGGGGACGTCCTATGCCCCTCCTATGCTAAATAGCTTAGTGAGCTTTTGAAATTCTTTTTAAAAAAAGATATATTAGGCCAGGCGTGGTGGCGCATGCCTTTAATCCCAGCACTTGGGAGCTAGAAGCAGGCAGATCTTTGTGAGTTCGAGGCCAGCCTAGTCTATGTAGTGAGTTCCAGGACATCTGGGGCTACAGGGAGACCCTGTCTTAAAAAGACAGAAAAAAAAAAAGGGAGGCAGAGGCAGGTGGATCTTTGTGAGTTCGAGGCCAGCCTGGTCTACATAGTGAGTTCCAGGACAGCTGGGGCTACAGGGAGACCCTGTCTCAAAAAAGACCAAAAAAAAAAAAAAAGATATATTTATTGTGCATTTTGTGTGTATGTGCACCACATGTCTTTGGTGCCTAAGGAGGCCAGAAAAGGGGAATTGGATCCACTGGAACTGGGATTACAGATGGTTATGATCTACCATGTGAGTTCTGAGAACTAAACCTGAGTCCTCTACAAGAGCAACAAGTGCTCTTAACCATTCAGCCATCTCTCCAGCCCCGAAATTCTTTTTTGGTAAACTTCATCTATTTCTTGAAACAGTCTTTAAAAGTATAGTGATATTAGAAGGGGGTCTTGAGATGATTTGGGGGGGGCTGGGGATCAACGTATTTAATTGTAATAGCCATGTACTTGTTTTCATGAGCATTAGAAAAATAAGAGATGGCTCAACAGTTAAGAGGGTGTACTGCTCTTGCAGAGGACCAGGGTTGGACTTTGAGTTCCTATGCTGAATCTCCTGGAGTTGGAACTACAAACATTATGAACAGTCATGTGAGTGTCAGGAATCAAACTCAGAACCTCTGGAAGAGCAGGAAGTACTCTTAACTGCTGAGTCATCTCTCCAGCCCCTGTGTCATGAGTTCTATTGATGATATTCTGATAGTCCTGAGGAAAATTCTTAGAGTATATAAAAGGATAAATGTGGGGCTGGTGAGATGGCTCAGTGGGTAAAGGCACTTAGCTTAACAACCCGAGTTCGATCCATGGGACCCACATAGTGGAAGGAGAGAACCAACTCCCATAAGCTGTCCTCTGCCCTCCCCCGCCACAAGTACATAAATATAATTTTAAAATATTTTAAGGATAAATGACCACAGATTTTTCAAAGTGAGATAACGGTTATTGATGAATTTTATTCTTTCTGTTTCAAAAGTATGACTCTATTTTGTCATTTCATATATTTTAACTATACTTGCCAGGCACAGTGGTGTATAACTGTAATTCTCAATATCTGGGAGACTGAAAGGCAGGAGGGTTGGGAGTTCAAGGCTCGCTTGGGCCACATACTGAGGACTAGGTCTCAAAAAATCAAATCTAGGAGTTGGGAGTGGTGGCACATGCTTTTTTTTTCCCCAGCATTTGGGAGGCAGAGGCAGGTGGATCTTTGTGAGTTCAAGGCCAGCCTGGTCTGCATAAGAGTTCCAGGCCTTCTGGGGCTACAGGGAGACCCAGTCTCAAAAAAACAGACAGACAGACACTCTCACATCAAATCTAGGGGCTGGAGAAATGGCTTAACAGTTAAGAGCGCCTACTGTTCTTCCAAAGGACCTGAGTTCAGTTCCCAGCATCCACATGGCAGCTAACAACCACCCATCACTCCAGTTCCATGAAATCCAACGCCCTCTTCTGGCCTCTGTGGGCACTGCACCCATGTGGTGCACTTACATACATGCAGGCAAAACACTCATACACATAAAATAAGTATGGCCGGGCATGGTGGCACACACCTTTAATCCCAGCACTCAGGAGGCAGAGGCAGGTGGATCTCTGTGAGTTCAAGGCCAGCCTGGTCTACACAGTGAGTTCCAGGACAGCTGAGGCTACAGGGAAACTCTGTCTCAAAAAGACCAAAAAATAAATAAATAAAAAATAAATAAGTAAACTTTTAAAAATCAAATCTAAAACAAACAAAATCCCAAATATATTACGTTTATATTCTAACCCGGTTTCAGGAACTTAATTTCACAGTCTCTGCTTACTGAACAGTAACCATCAAAAGGAGTTATTGGGGACTGGGAAGATGGCTCCATGGGCATGAGGACCTGAGTTCAGA